GGTGTGTGTGTGTGTGTGTGTGTGTGTGTGTGTGTGTGTGTGTGTGTGTGTGTGTGTGTGTGTGTGTGTGTGTGTGTGTGTGTGTGTGTGTGTGTGTGTGTGTGTGTGTGTGTGTGTGTGTGTGTGTGGAGACCACATTTTAATCATTAAGAAATCTTCAGAGGAGATTTATTTATTTAGCATTTAACATTCGTTTAAAGCACCCAATTAAAACAGCACCTTTTTCAGGTTATAACAATTAATCAAGAATAAACCTTATATTGCTGGGGATTTATCAGAAAATTGTCTTCGTAAACTCATTCTTGATGATTCCTCGGTCAAGGGCAGAGCTGATTGTGAATTCTAGAATACATCCAATATTTTTCCTTTTCTCTAGAGATTGGACTTCAATTACATGTCAAATTTCTGGTTAATTTGAAGGATTATGATAAATTCTCCAGGTGCTCACTCTAAGCAAGAGCCGTGCTTTGATCTGCTTAATCAGGCTGTGAATGCGATAAAGCAACTAAAAACCATTATTTATTCAGAAAGTGTGTGCTGTGGCTTTGTGTGTTCCATAATGAGAAATCTTCCATGTTCTGTATGAATCTTTAATAAGTGCCATTTAATGAAAGAAACACATTGTGTGGGAAGTCATTAACTTTGAAAGCAACAGTGATTGCTTTTGAGGGATTAGTCTAGTGCACTTTTTCTTTGCATTTGTAGTCCGTAGATAAAGTTGAGATTAGAAAAAAGGTAATTAATGAAAATATTTCCCTACAACCTTTCGAGTATTTGTGTATGGTTGTCACATCTTGGCAAGCAGCTCATGCACAAACGGAGAAATGTCAGTCGTTTGATGCCAGTGTTGTCACATCTCTGATCCTCTTCTGATGACAGATCAATAATGACAGGAGGACAGACAGATAATGCCTTCCCTGGTGGCTAACATGTCCCCTTGGATGCGCTCCCTTTTCTGACAGCGTCTTAACAGTAACCTCATCATATGCCAGACTAAACTATTTGGATTGAAAGCACAGGAACAGTCGACTCACAGTTCATTGCTGTAGTGTAAACAAGCTACCAGCCATGATGGACATCTACCCATTAACCTCAAGTCATGGGCTTCCATTATCACTGCTTGAAAAGATGACGTGAAAATGTTTTTCCAGTCTGAATTCATAATGTTTAGACAAATAAAATGCTTTTAGAGCAGCCTTTCTTACATAAATAAAGCCTTTAAGTATTTGAGTGGTCTACTCCTCTTTCCTTGATATTTAATTTCAGGGCAGGAAGTTCAATTGTGTTGATGTCTTTTTGCTTGATACTGTGTTTTTGTTCACGCATTTGCATTCAAAACTAACACTTACATTTTGGCACTGTCCGGGTAATATTTGCTGTGACATAGTGAATCAGTTTTCCAAACAATTTAAAACAAACATAGCTAGCCTGTTAGTGGGAAATGTTTGGTTGATATATATTTTTACTCTGAGCTTTATTTAATTGGGGGTTTGTTTAAATAGTATGTTTGGAGGCCTTAAACGCTTTTAATGATTACCATTATAAACATGGATTTGGAAAAAGTGTTTAGCTTAAATAATTAAAACCAGATGTGATTAATTTAAAAGATAAATGTCCATATGTTGAGTCAGTAACACTAGAAAGCTTATAGTAATTCCTTTCAGGTAATAGATAATGTGTTAACTTCATTAAATCAAGCATACATATTACATCATGTTAAATAAATGTTTGAAAATGATATATTCAAATGATAAAGGGTGATGAAGGGGGACTTGAGTTAATCTGTGGGAACAGTATGTCTGACCCTCTCTCTTTCTCTTCAGGTGTCATCAGAACAGCTCTGCCGAACATGGACCGGGAGACGAGGGACCAGTATGTGCTCGTCATCCAGGCCAAAGACATGGTCGGTCAGATGGGGGGGCTCTCCGGCACCACCTCTGTTACTGTCACACTCACTGACGTCAACGACAACCCGCCTCACTTCACTCACAGTAAGACCCCTGTTCCCGATTGTCCCTACAGGGTTGATTAAGCTTGTTGTGTATGGTACATTCAGTGCTTTCAACAGCTAGGCTACCCAGCAATCACAATAAAACCACCTGCTTGCATATGATTTTCACATTTGTTTTTTGATCCGGTGAATTATGCTTAAAAGATCAATTATTGCTGAAAACCACTTGAAAACAGACCAAATGGAGACATACTTTGTATTGTATGCAATGAATGCAGTGGTGGCCTACAAAAAAGGCTATTCCACCCTTGAAAATCAATCACTTGAAAGTATTTGCTATTTTATCTGTAACAACCCTTTTGTGTGATAGAACAAGGTTAACATACTCAGAAATCTTAGAAGCAAAACACACATTAAATCTTTACCATGTAACTTCATCCCATCCATTTTCTTTGTTAACTGCTGTCCAAACACCATTCTCTCTTAATCTTGGCAAATTCCCTACACTTTTTTGGCAAACATTAGGACTTTAACGTCTAAATTAAAAAGCAGCCTTGGTGCAAGGTGTGCTCCTCTCATCAGAGCTGGGGAATGCTTCCACGCTCGATACTAGGATCAATCAGGCGCCGTTTTGTTGTTGTCAGCCTATTTCACGGGCTGCAAATGGGTTCCAGGCCCAGCCTTAAGATTCAAAGGCATGCGGTGCCTCTCATGATAATCCAAAGCTCCGGCAATCGGTTTACCGCTGATAGCCCAACCCCTGTCTAGCTGGTGTACTCACCACTGGACTGCCATGAAGCAGAGTCAATTTGCAGACCCCTGGGGGGAAGAAAGGTTTAAACTTGCACAACAAGTGATCAATGCCGTTTAAACCCAGTGCTGTCACACTGTGAAAAAAAGGGACATTGGAGGAGTTTGGGCTTTTTGCTCCTGCTGTGGAGCTCGCAGGGTCATGGGTCAGAGTCGATAGACCATCACTGAGCATCAGAGCTGAGAGAGAGTGCAGAAGCTATAGCTAGTCCTTGGAAGAAACGAGGGAAGAGAAGAGAAGGAAAGCCAAGGTTAGCTGCATGAGAGCACAGGCTCATGCAGGAGGTAGGTGCATGGGGCAAATCGGAGGGAGGAAAGCAATTCTTCGGTCTTTTAAAGAGCTGCTATTCCACGGCAAATTAAAAAGCCATTATAAAGATTACATGGCGGCAAACAATGTCAGGCAGATTAGCATTTAGACGGTGGCTGAGGGAGACAACGTGAGGAACACAGAAAGCTCTCGTAATGAGCTCTGTCATGGTGATTGGGGAGATTATGATTATGAATATGATTCCCTTCTTTATTCTCATAAGAGTACTTTCAATCCGAAGGGTCACACAAAAGCTAAGGGAACACATTGGAGACTTTTTGTGTAATAGAATCTTCAAGTGGACAATTCATCCCATCCTCTGAAAGGGATCTAAGTATCATTCATTTTTTAAATTCTTGCTTTGTCTTTTTTATTCCAAGTGATTCCCCATTACATCCCGACAGCAGTTAGGGAGTTATATAATTTGATAAATATAATCCTTCAGCTGTTAAACCTGTAGAAATGGGACAACAGAAATAGATTTGTAGTACCTCATTTGTATAATTCACATTTCTGTTGCCTTCTACACTGCAATGTGGAGTTAAAGCAAAGTGCTTTGTGCCGCCTCTGCTGCCTGTCTGTGTTATGAAACATACAATTATTGAGGAGCCACACAGCCGAGTCAAATCTGAAGGGGGTATAAGAAAAGCTGAGCTGCTTGAAGGTGAGTTGGCGGTGAAATGAACACATCCATTACCAACATCCGCTCCTGTCTTTCCTCTTACAGAGAACTATCAGTACACGGTGCTGGAGTCGCTGCCGGTGCAATCTGTGGTGGCCAGAATCAAAGCGGCTGACGCTGATATAGGCTCCAACGCAGAGATGGACTACAGGTTGATGGATGGCGACGGGCCTGGCATGTTCAACATTACAACAGATGAGAACACACAAGACGGGGTCGTCATCCTTCTGAAGGTACTGCATATAAAAACACATACAAATGAAGACAGCCTGAGAAACTGAAACCTTCGTATCATGACTTTCTGCCCATAAATGGTACTTCACCCTCCCTCCTGAAAGTCAGTGAGACATAGGGCAAAATGTTCCGGCTGTTGGGTAAAGCTCTGTACTTTAGCAGCTGGCGTGGCATTCAATATTGCTTGGAATATTGATTGAAGCGGTGTGACTGTTCCACATGCTCCCTTTTTCTACCTGCGTACTTACAGACACACCACATTTTCACAATACTATATTCTTTCTTCTCCAGAATGTTACTAATCTGTAGCCAACGCACAGAAAGGAAGTTTTTACACTCAATGTGAAATATTCAAGGATATGAATACCAACAATGTATTGACGTTATTAACATGTGGTGCAACTTGACATTGTTGAATCCTTTATGCCAAATAACTCCATTGTTGTCAAAAATACATCAATGAGCCACGCTCTAGCACAGGATGATTTGGTCCATTATAACCATGAACTTAGGCAGAGATGTATATTCATCCATTCCACACACGTCATTCTAGATATAGAATAGAGCACCAAATGTGTATTCATCCACAGATGAAAATATTCTGTTTACTTTTATCTCAGTAACATTTTCTAAGAATTGCGGTGCACTGATTTTTTTTTAAAATAAAACGATATATATTTATGAATAAATATATACGGTATACACAAGTGATTCATGTACATGGGGCTGAGTCAGATATTTTAAAGAGATATTTGCTCTTTTCATGGGATTTGGCTGCAAGAGAAATATTTGACTATTTGGAAATGTGTAAGATTGTAAAACTAGGGAGAAATTGTACCACTCGGTTACGTTCCCTCCCAGACTAGGGGTACCAAAGGGAAGTAACACAAATATTTAAAAAAAACGGGCGAGAGAAAAGAGGAGAGGAAACTGATTTGTGAAGCCACAAGATGGTCTTTTAATTGACAAAAGAAAAAGAGGCTCACCAGCCAATATGCAAAACAAACTTAAGGTAACTCAGAACAACTTTCTTCTGAAAGAAAGTGACTAAATTAAACAATACCCAAAGGTAAACTGGAGCACATCTAACAATGAGCAAAATACAAGTTAACCCAACAGGTCTCACACAAAGACACAGCACATGCCGCACATGCACCCAGAGGAGAAGGAAGAGAGCGACTGCCGCCTTTCTCAGGTCCTTTATGGAGGCCCTGATTGGGAATTGGGAGCACCTGAGGAAGAGGCTGCACCTGGAGGGAGACAATCAGGGGGAAAGGGAGAGAGACACACACAAACACCCACACATGAGCACTCACTACGGCACGGAACACACTCGCACAATGATTTACTCATTCTTCGGTTATAATAAACTGAACAAAATAATGATACAATTTCACAAGGGTAATTTACTGAAGGATATAAAGTACAATGCCTTTTTGAGTTTACCTTTCTCCTCTTTACTCACGAGCCTCATTTCATGATTTCTTCTGCACCTTTAGATTGAGTGATAATCACTAATGGCAAATCAGTATTGACGATATCCAACACATTAGATTAAAGTTAACATCCCATGGTCAATCAAAGCAGGTTTACTACCACAACAGCTCCGGACTTGCTCGTGAGAGTATACACATCACTGTGAGGATGATGAAGGGAACAGGGACTTTAACACTCAAAATAAGCACTCCTCTCGCAATGGAAACCAGGATGCTATACCCACCTACATGAATAAATAAACCATCTCAAGTTAAATGTGTAACCAAGCCTCTTATTTATTTACGCAGGAAATCCGTTGCACTTTCTTGCCTCACTTTAGGATGCTGCAGTGCTCATGGCTCACACTTAGCACGTCATGGTTTCTGAAGACTTTAAATGGCCTCCTACGGCCACGTGGATGTGACGGTTCATTGCTGCAGCTCTTTTGTTTGGAGAGGCCCAGCCATTGTTGGACACTAGCCATTCTTGTCAGATGGGCCCATTTGATCCTTTGTTTGTTTTGCACAAGACACGGGAAAATACATTATCGCAGTAAGTCTCTGACAATGGATGTGTCAATTCCATGTTGTCCTGCAGTATGTTACATGTTGCAATGAGGAGTTTGTTAACCCAGACAAAAGAAAGCATTTCTGAACGCTTTTCACCTTGTTGTGCACCTCTCTTAAAATCAATATTTTCAGGATACAATCAAACTGTTGTCTGTCCGAATTTTTTTTTCTCTTCATTCCGATCTTCATTTGGGACCACAGCATTTTCTGAATCATTTATATAAACTGCTGATATAGCCTTAGCATTGTATTCTTCAAGTACAAACAACAAAGAACTGAACATGCTCTGCCACCTTGATGAGAAAAGTGAACATCTCTCACTTTATGTTGTGTATTCTGTCTCCTCTAGCCTCTGGACTTTGAAACAAAGAGCAGCTACTCTCTGAGAATCGAGGCCACAAACAGGAACATTGACTCCGACTTCTTGAGCTCGGGCCCATTTAGCGACACAACATCAGTCAAGGTGACAGTGGAAGATGTGAACGAGCCGCCCGTTTTTTCCACACCGCTCAGCAAGATGGTTGTTTCAGAAGACGCCAAATCGGGCACCTCAATTGGGAGGGTCTCTGCCCATGACCCAGACAACTCCAACAACGGCATCAGGTACTTACGATCGGTCTACTATTCCGTAAATGTATTTCTACATGTCAAATATCTTTTGTTATGTAACTCTTTCATTCATAAATACTTGGGTAAAGTTTTCCAGAGCTGTTTGTTAGAAAAGAAAATAAAGAATACCAATGTCTTCACAATCTATTTAACTACTCCACATTTTCTGCAAACACAGAATCCATAGACCCTCGAAGGTCCCCCATATGGATGTTTTGCAAAGACAATGCCAGATGGTGGGAGGGCCAAAGAGTGCAGGATTTGCAAAAGCGAAATGCCATCTTGACTGAGAGAAGGGCATTTCTGCCGAAGGGTCAAGGCGATACAACACTTGTATCGTGGCATTTATGACTCAAAACAAGTACTCACAATACCAATCTGTGCAGTGTCACTCTCCAGATTCCCTCCTATTTTGCATTAATTGAATAAATATTGTATGGTATTCATGCTTGGTCTGTTAGGATTGTTATTAATCCTAATCAGAAAATCTAATTACTGCACCATTGTGGCTGTAAATTGCTTCTTTTTGCTCCTGTGACTGTTATCCGCGTCTGCAATGTATTTCACTACATCTGCTGAAATTAAAATTATTGTGGAACTAATGCAGCCACAAGAGTCAAATTACATTGTAATAATACCCTTTGGATGTAGGCTAATTGAAGCTGTAATTTTCTCTAGTAATATGAGTTGCTGTGTATTGAAAGGGTTTGATCAGTGTTGTGTGCTGAGGGACAAGCAGACAGACCTCAGTTTGATAAACAGTTAATAGGGTTTGTTTCACTCATACAATTTCTGCTGCATTTCTGAATTTACAATCCAAACTCATTAATACTGTTTGGAAATATCCTATATTGTTCTTATTGTGAACACAACACATTGAGGTTTTATAAAAGTGGTTCCTGTATATTGCTGCACAGTTTGATGGAAGAAAAATATCATAATCTTTAAAGAAACACCTAAATGTCAAATCAATACCTCTTTCAAAAAGCTTATTCTTTTGACGTAGGCCTATGTCGGCTGTGTGTATTGATGTGCCTTTTCTTTTCTCCAGGTACTCTATTGACCGAAACACCGACCTGGAGCGCTTCTTTAACGTGGATGCTCTAAGTGGGGTCATCAGCACAGCCAAGCCTCTGGACCGAGAGGCCAACATGGTCCATAACCTCACCATTTTGGCCATCGAGAGCCGTAAGTGTACCTTCAGCATACACCCTCAAATCTGCTGTACAGGCAGAGTTGACCTTTGGCTAAAGCCTTGTTGGTTTTAATAAGATTCATACCTAGTATACTCAATCTGGAGGGGATGGCATCTCTGCAAGCCTATTCAAACCACTAAAACACAAAAGCAATAATAAAAGGTATAAGTTACAAGTGTTAGCATTTTAGCGTGGCTAACTAGCTTACACCCACAGTAGTAAGACATTGAATTAAGCATTACTTACTGTACTAGGCCAAAAAGCACTAAACTAAATGAGTTTGTGGGGTTAAATACATTAAAAAATCCCCTGTTTTAGTGTAGTATTTCCCGCTATGATAAAACGTATCTTTTATGCTATCATAGTTAAGAGTTCAGGATAATGTCAGTAGCTAAAGTAACCCTAGCCAAAGGTTCATTGGCTAGGGTTTCACCTTTTTGCCATTTCACCGAAGAAATAAAACAGAATGTAAGCCTGCTTTTTTCTACCTCTATTTAAAAATCCAAGCTCAGCGAATGGTTCCAATACTTCCTAGGAACTGAGGTTTTATTCATTCTCTCTGGGTGACACTATTTGTCCTGTTATCCTCTTATCCTCTTAGTGTCCAATAGCCCTCTGTGTAGAGGGCGAAACAGTTGTCGGGGTTGTTGTAGGGCTGTTGGGGAATGTTAATTCACGCACAGGACGGTCATTTTGACCTCCATGTGTCCAACCGTCGTGAAGACAAGATGCTGACTAAGGGTGGGTGACCTCACCCTCAGGTGAACTATGTTAATGTGATGTGAGGAAGAGTCGCCTGCCTATTTGTTCATCTCTCAATGTCTCAAAGGACACTGATGCGTCCCCCTCCAGCCTCCATATCATTCCACCAGCGATCATGCAAACACAACAGACAACAATCATCAGCGCCCGATCAGCAGAGCGCTTTCGACAGCTGCGTCACATCTGTATAAGTTGAAAAAGACAACCAGCCTGTCAGCCTGGCAGTTCCTCTGCCTTCACATCTTCACACTGTGTGAAATGGTATTCATTTGTCTTCAAAACCTTCGTATCATTCTTTGTTTCAAAGGTGTGTTTTTATTTACATCGGAAAGCACACAGGCTCAGCTCTCTGTTGATTTCATAGTGTGAGCGCTCGCCTGATATAGCCTCAAAGAGAAGGCATATAATAATAGCCATATGAAATGTCACAACAGTCCCTCATGCATGAGGTACTGGCTTATGACACATAGTGACACTCGGGCGCTGTTTCCAGCTGAAAACATCTTTGAGTTCACGGACTGGCTAAGAAATCCACTGCCCTGTACGGCTGATGACAGTATTTATAGTAAATAGGTTCTTTGTAACTGGAGAGAGTGAAGGACTCTTCGGTTATAGGATGTTGTGCTTTTGAGCTGCAGTCACTCAAATTTCATGAGCTCTGGCCAGAGCACGGCAATGACAAGAAGCCTGTGGCCCGAGGCTCCACACGTCCTTTTTATCACCATCAAATCAGCCTGGCCCGAATGTCAGCGCGTCATCTCTTGCCGGCATGGGCGGCGACGCCAGGCTAAATCATCATCCTGCACTCAGACGTAGCCATTTAACCATCAGTGTGTGTCAGGCAGACAGAGGCGTGAAGCCTGCAGTGCAGAATGGCTCGTCCACAGACACAGCCTTCCCACGACAACAAGCCGCCACCGAGTGTAATCACTTTGGCTGATCCAGAGCAGGGCTGCTAGGGATGGCACACTGCATATTTTATTACAGCAGCACTTTTGTCCTCCTCCTTTGTGATGAATTAAAACACATGAAAAAGATCAATATTCCATAATTTGGCCAAGTGCATCAAGGGAATTTTAAGGCAGGATTAAAGTGTTTAAAATGTCTTCCTTTTCTCCCTTTATCTTTCAGAGGACCCGGTCCAAATTGGGAAAGGCATCGCTCTCATCACGGTGCTGGACATAAATGATAATGCCCCGGTCTTTGCCATCGACTATGAAACTCTTCTGTGTGAAAACGCCAGGACAGGACAGGTAAGACACAGACACATCTCTGCACACGGTCCAGCTTTCCTTCCCTTTTCTCTGTCCATGCTTCAAGTTTGACTCACAAAGACAACCTGCTGACTTTCTAAGCCATTAAAGCTCTTTCTTGTTCCTCAAAACAAGTCCACTGTGCACATACCCACTTCACAGCTTGAGGTCATTTTCGGGAACTTCCAGCATCATTAGTATGAAACACATCCTTTAGATTTTATAGCAGGTATTGTAGGTGTTTTCGTTTGTTATAAATGGTACTCTCATTCCGTACTTTCAAGCAAACTAAATTAATGACGGTGCCTATGGTCTTAATCCACAATAATATAATGGCCTAAAGCGATACCTCATGCTGGGACGGTTTGGTGATCTCTGCAGTTTGACTTTCCATTCTGAGGCTTTGTGTAATAAGACGATCACAATGGAGGGCAGCCATGCAGAAAATGCATCACAAAATCATGAAAAAGGAACCCAGAGGGAATTGAGGGCTTTAAGATTTTGTGTTTGAGGAAAATAAGGAAAGAGAAGAAGCTGTAGCCATGCATCACATTTTCCCTGTCTTTAGCATTTGGCCTCATTGTTGTTAAATGACTTGTGTGTCTGCGGCGGCGATTCGTCTGCTCTTGGCATTTGGAAAATACAATCAGAGGCGAAGGCTAGAGGAGGCGTGTAGACCTGAATAAGTACAATTGATCAGAATGATGCATTGTATTGGAGAATGGCTATTAGGCCCTTTTAAATATGTTATTTGCATTTCTATTTCAGGGTTGTTTGTCACCGTGCTCACGGGAGGGTGAACAAAAATAGCAAATGACTTCATTTGCAAAAATGAGAGACTATATTTCACGAGTGCTTTTTTCTGTGTGCATGATGCTTGACCACAATATGAAGCCTTACAGGTGAAGCTTTCTGGGATTGTAGCAGTTTGGTTTTTTTCAGATTTATAACCGGAAAAAGGTTTAGTACATATCATTAAACTCACGTTAAGGTATTTCTAGATATTGCAAAATCGAAATGTAACCAATCAGATTCTCGCCTTAGGGCACAGAGTACTTGCTGGAATACACATTGCTTCCATATTCGTTCCAATCATTATTAAAGAATGAATTTCTACCACAGCTGAATGTCTATTTCTGGTTAACGATGTTGCCACTTATCTCGAGATGAGTGTTGTTGCTCAGTGATATCAAATTTAGAGCAACCCTAGCAAACATGTACTGCACTGACTTGGAAATTCAACAGTTAATTTGTACATTTCTCCCCACTAGTGCCTAATAAATTATGGCACCCAGGCTATGACAATACTGAAACTAAGTAATTCCCCAACAATCATACCGGCCCCCAGGACATAGCCGGGGTCCATGACAGCATCATCAGCAGGAAAAGGTTCAGCAAATCTGTAAATACTCAGCTGAAGCAGACAGATTGCTTACTCAATGCCGCTGATAGCTGAGCTGGGAGGTCCCCTAGGGTTAGCTAGGAGCTACTCTGCTGTAAAGAGAGGGGCTGTGGGGGGCCGAGGCCTCTAACCTCATCTAACTGGGAAGACCTGCAATCAAATACTGTTGTACATGTAGATAAGTGGTGCCGTCAATACAATTAGCTTCTTTAGCCACAAGCTAGTTTGTACATGCTAATAGCTTGTGTGTGTCCACGTGTGTCCTTATATTTAAATTAAAAGAAATGTTCCAAAGAAATCTGACTGATGATTTGGGGAATTTGACAAAAAGACAGCCAGCCAGATGTTATTGAGTATGAAATGTGAATTAAGTTCTGAAAATCCTAAAATACAAATAAGCATTGGGTAAGAAAATGTATTTTCTCTCTCCAATGTTGGCATTTTCTTATATCTCACCTGTGAAATATCTGAAAATCACCAGTCAATTGGATTGAATCGTAAAATGTTTCTTATAAACGCAATAAAGACCAAAATTACACATATGGTATAAGGTATTTGAATGTATGACATTTGAAATGTTTTTAATCAGAATCAGAATACCTTTATTTGTCCAACAGAGGGGAAATTGGCATTGTTATGCAAAAGACCCAAAAGTAGCTCAATATTAATTAAGAGGCATGCATACAATATTAAAGACAATAACAAATAAAATAAAATACAAACATAAAATCTTTAGCTCAGATAAGAAAACTGAATTTCTTTCTAACTTCCTGCATCATCTTAACTTTCTTATGTCAGAGCGAATGACTACCCCAGACAGGAAGTGTGTGTTCTCATCTCGGCTCTTCTCTGATCCCATTCCTATTAAATCCTATTCAAATACAGCCTTCTGTTTAGGCAACACTATGCACCGGTGGGATTGCACCTTCAGACTGAATAATGAAGGCAGACAAAATGGAAATTTCATGATGAAATTTACACCCAAAAACACATACAGAGCAAAGGGAAGGAGAGAGGTTGACATTTGAATGTGAAACCCCGTTTGAATTTCAACTAGGTGTCTGCTGTCTCTTAGCAGACAGACTGGGTGGACTTGTAACCTGTCAAATGTGCACCCCACCATCTCCCTTAGTCCTAATTAATGAGAATGCTCCTGTTGTGCACTCTCTGTCCGGCTGTAGCAGCGAGCAGTTGGCTGTACTAACAGTGTGTGCTTCCCTGTAAAGCTTAGTTGAAAATCTTAGGCCGCCCACTGATTGTCACGCCCATTGGCTTATTCACAGCTGCCAAATAATGAAATAATAACATTTGCCAGTTTGGGCCGGGGTTCACTCCGTGGCTCTGTAACACAGATTAACAGGGAGTGCAGGGATGGAATAACCTGCCATTTTTCAGGCCTAATTAAAGGCCGTCTCGTGGCACTGGCTCTCTCCAGAGATGCCACTTGTTACGGATCATCGGTGCGTCTGTCTTCTGCCATAATATTAATTGATATTATGATGGGGTGGAGGGGGCAGCAGCAGCAGTGGGGATGGCACAGAGAGGGAGGGGAGGGAGGGAGGGGTCTTTGTACAATCACTTCAGTGTAGCCATTACATACATGAGTGGACTTGGCATTCTGCTGCCCCCAATCGGCTCCACTGCCCCTCCCTGAGGAGGCTTAGTGTCCTCCAGAGATTCATGAATGTTAGGTGGTCAAAAACAAAGGTTTTCAAAATGTGAAAGAGTTGAAGGGGCATGACGAGAAAGAGACATTCTAAACATCTCTACCTTTGAGTCATGACTCAAATCAGACATCTCACATACATTTTTAGCAATTCAGTGTGACTTATACTTGACAAGCATATCATTATCCTAGATGTTCTTTGCGAATAACCTTGAATAAATTACCTGAAGAATCATAAGAAAAAAACTTTGCTTGAGAATGTTCAGACTTTTTAGGTTTTGATCAGTATCAAAGGAATCCAGGGATTGATGTTCGTGAATTCACGGTTACACTGCTAACAGGGAAGCTAAAGCATGGACTAGTTTCTCTGCATCGTTTTGAGGCAAGATATGCCTGATTTTTGCAATGTTACGTAGATGATGTCTATAACTATGTAAATGCATCCTGTAAATATAATGTATGATGTCCTTTATTGTTTTATGTTTCATGTGGAACCTATATGCTGCAGGTCTCCCTTGAAAAAGAGATCTATGATCTCAATGGGACCAATCTGCTTAAATAAAGGTTTGAAATTAAATGAAAATATATTCTAATAATGATGCCACCAATATGGTTTGAACACACATGGCTCAGGTTATAGTGTACATTATCGGAGTTATCATTTATAAAACATGATTATTAGATCTCACAAACAAAACATGGACCAAGAATATTCACAGCAAATAAAAAAGCCAATTATATTGAACTATTCTCCGTCTAACAAGTCCTATACATATCTGCCCTGTATGAAAACAAATTTAAATATAGACAAAAAAAAGACTTTTCTGGTTCACCCACCTCCACTTTCAAACTTACTTTACTTCTTTACATATCACCTTTTAATTACTGCCTCCACTGTCAACATCAATCACACAACAAGAAGGAGAACTTCCTTCACACCCCCAGTCTTCATCCAAATGATCAGTTTATTATAATGTGGGTGTTGCATCAAGGTGGGAGATGAAAACGGATATGGCAGGGCGCAGAGTAACTCGTGCAAGGCATCATACTGTGTGTTCTATAAAAACAACCATGGGGAAGTCAGATCCCACCAGAAGATCACCTCAGCCTCAGCAGTTTGGGCTTGTTAGGATCCTGCCAACAAATCAGTGAAGGATTTGGATAATCAATGTGAAATGAGAGTTGAAAAATGACATGTGTTGATTGTCATTTCACAATGTTGTGTGTGTGAGTAATGACAGGATGTGTGAATGCTGTTGATCCCTCAGCACAAAGTTACGGGTGTCACATGTGGGTGATGTTTAGGAAGGGTCACAGGATGTCACAGGAAGGGTGTGAAAAACGCACAGCCACCTCCGCCTCCACCCTCCTCCTCCCCCCAGCTATCGCCAAGGCAACAAGTGTCACCCATTTGATGCGCTGCTTATTTATATTCTTAGTTCATTTTTCAAGGCTTGATATTGACGTATGACTCATCCGGTTTACTTTCTGATAATTACACTTTAAGACAATACAACTCTTATAAGGATAGTTGCAGGGATTTTAAAATGCTGATTGTTTACTCTGCTGGTGTCAAAGAGGGGAACATGTTATTCAGGCTCGTTATCTCTCAATGTTTTCACACACCAAAGCCTTTTAGTCTAGCCATGCTACATTAGCTGACATTTCTTCCCTCATTATAGAGGCCACATTTCTAACTGTCTCTGCAGCTAGAGTCTGGCACACACACGCCGCAGCTCACAGATGCTTCGTGTCGTAGGTGCAATGAATTATGGTCATTGTAGTTCTCTAACATACTTCAGGTGTTTAGGGGAATTAAATCCTAATTGTTTGAATCGCAACAGATGAGAAAACACACATTTTAGTTGGCAGGATGTTATTTGTGAGTATTTGGTCTGTGAGGGTTCAGCTCGTCCAGGTGATGCTTGTGAT